CTTCCAAAAGGTGTTTAAAATATTCATCTTCCATTATCAAACATAAACATCTTCCATAGATCTTTATATCAGTCCTTTCAGTTTTTCATTTCTCCATTTTGAACAGTTGCAGATCAGTAATTTGGGAAATTCAATAATAGTTTAGTTATATCCAGTTATATAGTTATAAAGATCATGCTTGTCTTTTCCTTGATTGCCATCATTGCAAATCTTTAGGTCAATTTATATGGTTGCCCATCTCACAAATGTGATTCTAAGTAGATGACATGGTTTAAAATAATTTAAATAGAATGTCTTTGTTATATTTGAGCAGATACATATCTGTATTGTTCCACTTTTAAGTAGAGCATGTTAATGGAAAAGATGAAAATAATTCCACATTTTAAAATTAAATGCCACATAACTATAGAATTCTGCACAAGAGAATCAGAGTGTGAAAATGTGGGGAATAAGACTTGCCCCAGAAATAAACTCAAAAATCATTCTTGGATATCAAGAGATTTTGAAGATGGCAATAGTTAGGCTAACTCTAAATGAAAGAGTACTGAATGTGTTGTGTGAAAAGTCCTCACTTGAGGGGAATTGACATTTTGACCTTATCATGAGTCAAGTAAATTTATGACAATTCCCTTAACTACCTTGAAACCTAAAGGTCAGTAGTCACACCATTTTTGGGACTGCCTGATTTCACTATGGAAATCATGATGTAAGAGTATCTGCATAATCCTTAGCATAAGAACACATATTACTTTTTATTAAGGGTCATCATTTAACCTGCAAGCCAGTAAAGCAACATAAAACATTTCAATAGTGTTCACTTCATTATTTAAATAATTGTTCAAAGGAAAAAAACAGAATGAACAAAAATCATCACATCCAATTCCTTGGATCTTGCAGAATGCTCCACTAAATTCATATGATCTAATTCTAGTCTAAAATACTCAGAATGACAAAGACAATGAAGTGCACCACGTAAAGGGGTATTTGAAACAAACACAGAAGCAAAACATTTTAAACAGTTTTGTCTTAAACACAGTAAAAAAATAGCTTCTTCATAATTACATATAATTAGTTCAAAATTTCAGTGTTTTCTTTTTATTAAAAATGCTTCTTAAAACTACTGTTGTTTTGGATTATAGTTTTAAAAGAATGTCATTTTAAAAGTGTGAGTTGAAAACAATTTAATAAAGTACTATGCATTTATTTTTGCTATGTGTTTAGGTGTACAATACACCACACCATACTCATAATTCATGGGGAAAAGACATTTGATCATCTTGGAATTGCTTCAGTCTAACAAAGGCATGCATACTTAGGAAATAATCATGACAATTATTGTTTACATAATTTTTATTGATATTTCACTTTCCTTTATCAAAAAATCTGATGTATTCAGGAAAAACAGTCTGAAGTCAGTCAGAAATGGAAAAATATTTTATCATTCTTCAGTTTTCTCTAACTTTACCAGTTATTCTTTCTACAAAAGAAGAGTCTCTCTGAATTCCATGAAGTTTATTTTTAAGCAGATATACAGGATTCTATTCTACACTAACAGCATATTCAAAACTTTCATCTTGAGTTTTTCAGTCAAGAAACTGACTGAAAAACCAAACCAAGACAAAAGTACAAATCAGTTGACCAAATGTAAAAATACTTAGTCCTTATTAATAAATTTCGTTAGGTTTGCAGAAACAGCTATATAATTGTACATCCCACTCCCACTGTTCCTAGCATTTCGAAAAGCACCATCAAATTACCTCACTATCATGTCCACTTCTGAATCATGTTATACTACTGTAAAGAGATATTGCTCAGTTAACACCTACACTGAGATGGACAGCACATAAAACTAATAAACATCATCGCTTCAAATGCCTAGCCAACATTAAAAAATTATAAAAACTGTTCAGCAATTCTCCTCCTTTCAGCTACAACTAAGAGAACAGGGAGGGAGCGCAGTGCTGAATCACAACCCATAGCAGGCATCGCGTTTTCCAGCAGGCTAGCTAGCGGTCATCTCAACATAATCCTGGCATCTCCAGACTGGTCTTTAAGAGACAATATTCACGGTGACATCAGCTAAGTCGCCGCTCGCTCCTCCTACAAACAACGTGTCAAGTATAATTTACGATCCACCCACTCTCCCCCGTGCACTTTCCTGGACCCACAGTGTTCTAGAGGCTGTTCAATTGCGGCGCCCCGTCGCACTGGCAGGTTACGGATATATAACTCGGACATCCAAGCTTTATCTCAACCTCCTCTCTGCATCGGTAGAACGAGCCGCGAAGGCCTTCTAGAGTGCGGCAAGAAAAGCCCCGGCTGGGTACTTTTATGGAAAGGCATCTTCCCCGCCCTCAGGATTACTCTCCTCAGCTGTCTGGTACCAAGCGCCATTGCTGTCGCCCCCGCGAATTCAAAACCAGCGTTGTATTTTCTAGCATTCCCAAAGCCACCAAGAAACAAGCGAAGAGCGACCCCGGCAGGGCCCCTTCAGACGTTTTCCAGGACTTAGAACCTCGCGACTTAAGAAAATGGATGCTTCCCTTCCGCTTCTTCCGTTGCCAAGTCGTCCTGCCAAGCGCTGAGGGGGAGGGGAAGAGAACACTGAAACCCGCCCCTTTCTGAAGAAAAGCGCCCAGGGTACCGACCTGGAAAGGTGCTTGAGGATCTGTTTTTTGATAATGCCCGCCATGGTCCGCGTTCGCGTGTCAACTCGTCGACCGGTTCTTCAGGGAAAGCAAAAAGCGGTGATTGCTTGGCCCATCCCCTTGCGGGACTCCTCCATCCCCGAGAGAAGCAGCGCAGCCGCTTTCGCTGACGCTCTCCCGGCCCCGCCGCCACCTTGATTGCAGTAGAGCCAGCTGACAGGCTGAGCTTAATGGGGCGGGGATAAGGGAGGCGCGAGCGGTGGGCGCGCCGCCCGTTTCTTGGCTGCCGCTTCTGGCTTCGAGCCGGGGCGCGAGGAGTTGTGTCTCGCGCGCCTTTCTTGCAGTGACTTGAATGAATTCACAAGCGTTGCGGCGCGAGCCATGCAATCCCGATTCACCCTGCTCACAATTGCATACGCATAGGCGCCGCTAAACTTAAAATCGGAGGTGTTTCTCTAAATAAGTACTCTTAGTCTGCAAAATATCGGAAAGGATTCTTAGACAATGTACAATTATCGCTACGGGGATCGTTCAATACAGATAGTCTTAGATTTACACTTCGTGTAGTGACCATTCAAAGTATAACGGCACTGAAAAAAGTGACAGTTACAAATTTTATAGTGATAGTGATCAAAATTCAGATGCTTAGTAACTGGTTCATACTTATGACAATTGCTGTGTCCCAAGGTCATGTGATTATCTTTTGCACCCTTTTGGCATGCAAAGTCAATCGGAAACCAGATTCATTTAACAACCAGGTTACTAACTTATTAAGTGCTGTGATTCATTTAACTGGCAAGAAAGGTCATCATATGGGGGCAAAACTCTTAACAAGTTTCTCACTTAGCCTCAATTGTGGTCGTAAGTCAAGGGCTATATAAGTTTTACCATTAAACCTAGCTACCTTTTTAAAAATGTCCCAAAATACAAAGCTGTTCTTTAAGGCATCCTAAGCCTAGATTTTTTTTGAAAAAACTAATCTTTCTTCAAACACAGAACACTTCTATTACATAAATACAAATAATAATTTGCATTCATAGTAAGAGACTTAAAGGGAGATGTGGAAAATATATTTCTGATGCCTTCATTGACTTTTAAGAACATATATAGTTTATGAAATGATTGAGCCTCAGTGAGCAATGGTTAGAGTGCAGTACTGCAGACTACTTCTGCTGACTGTCAGCTGCCTGCAATTTGGCAGTTCAAATCCCACCAGGCTCAAGGTTGACCCAATCTTCCACTCTTCCGAGGTAGGTAAAACGAGGACCCAGATTGTTGGTGGAAATATGCTGATTCTGTAAACTGCATAGAGAGGGCTGTAAAGCAACATATAAGTCTAAGTGCTATTGCTATTACTGATTCAGCCATGAATTTGACTTGATAAGTAAAATTTGCACTGGAAATGTTGAAACTCGAATTTAAATCCACATTTAACAAATTCAGGACTGTATCATATATATAGGTAAAAATAAACACAAAAGTAGAATTGAATTAAGTTAACCCTGTTAAACTAAAAAGTACATACACTTTTTACAAAAGTGTTGCTATAATTTCAGGAAAGAATAAGTTTTTATTTATTATTTTACAAGTACATGTTTATGAGATACAGTAGTGGAGTATAGTTAGGAAGGGTGGAAAGGATAAGCAATAGTATATTGTGAGCCATCTAGAGTCACACATGAAAGAAACATATAAATAATATCTGGCCCAAAGTCATCCAGCTAGTTACCTAAGATGGAACTAGAATACATGGTCTCCTAGTTACACCAAACTGGCTCTCTTACCATTCACTTAAGGTACTATAAGACTTTTCATACCCAGTGTTTGGCTCAAAGATATTTTAGCTGAACTGTAAACATAGCTGCTTAACACAACTGAAATTAGTAAGGGGACAAAGCTGTATATTGTAAACAGTATATTAAAAAGATACCATAAATAATGTGTACAATATATATCACATTGAAATATAAACTCTAGACTCCAAATTCAGAATGTACCATAATTTCATTCTATATAAGATTTAAAGATATTAAGCTATTTTAGGTTGAAGCATATTCCTACAGTTTAACCTTTTTTTTTTAGAGGGGATTAGAGATCTTTTTCAATAAAAGTATAGCAAACCTTTGCACCTGTAATATTCAATGCCAATTCAATGTGTTTTGAGTAAAGGTTTAGTTTGGTGAAGAACATTGTTTTTTAAATAAAATTATTACCCCTAGTAAGTCATACATTACAAATAATGAAAAACCGCTTGATATATGCCGCGTCTTGTTTAAACGGACTAGTAGTTTCAACTCCACCCCGGAACTAAAAAAAAAATGAACCCGGAAAGCTATAAATTAGAATAATTTTTATATGGATGCATCTCAGCTTTTTGGAGATTTTCCTATCTATATGGGTCTTTCCTCATTCGTGGGAACATATTGTAATAGTAGCCTACAATCAGGGAAGAGAAATTTCCTCGCCTGACGCGGAGGTTTTAGGATTTTTTTTTCCTAGGCAATGGGGCGGAGTCGAGGGATCTAGACATGAAAGAAAAATGGCGACGCTCGTGTTGGATAACGGCGCTTATAATGCCAAGATCGGGTACAGTCATGCTCATGTCAGGTGAGGTTGGTTTTTTCGCTCGAAACAGTTATGGAGAAAATGGAAGCCTGTGTTTAGAGACATTGTTTTAGACAATTAACGACTAATCTATGGAGTTTCTTACATGTTTCATATAAGGAAGGATGGGGATGTATTGTTATCACGAATGGAAGAGAAACATTCCCAAACTACGTTCTTTAACAAACGCCCAGATTTTTTAAACTATGAAAACGTCATTTATTGAACTGTTCATTATAAAATGTTTTCCACTAAGGGGAATTTGGAAGAATCTGTTTTCTATTCACAGATGGATCAAGGATTTTTGCAAACAAATCTCATAGCATACTTCGTTTATTTGGAATCTTCTGATGCCCAGGAACTAATCCAACTATCTAGATTATGGATAAATTGTCTGGGTGTAGTGCTCAAAATAAGTGTTAATAATATTTAAAATCATGAATCTCCCTTAAGTTTCATTTGTGTTTTTAAGGGTTTTCTGGGAGTAAAATAATGGGGCTTTTTTGCAGAAAATATGCATAATTGATTTGAGAAATCTTGAAAATATGACACTGAGAATTTGATTTAACTGTATGAAACTTTATTGTTTTGGTTGCAGACATTGGTTTGCTGTTTCCTCTAATAAAATATTTAACAATAGAGCATGAAGTGTTTTGATATTGACAGTATTTTGTTATTTGCTTTGTTCACTTACAGATGACAGCTTGTTTAAATACATATTTAGGAATCAATTAGATTTTTTTCCCCTTCCCACAGTGTCATTCCCAATTGTCAGTTCAGATCAAAGACTGCTCGTTTGAAAACATTTACAGCTAACCAACTGGATGAAATTAAAGATCCATCTGGACTTTTTTATATTCTCCCTTTTCAGAAGGTAACTATAAACATGCCTCAATATATGTTATTTTTTTATTTGTTTTCCACTTAATTTTTTGAATAATTATAACTTCATCCTACATGGATGTTCATTCAACTGAATAGAGGAAAAGCAGTTACATTTTTGCCAAAATTTAATGAATTTTCATTTTGATTTCTTTTACTAATATAGTATATCCAACAAATATTGATTGAAAAATTGGAATTATGCAAGTGTCATTATTTTTTCTTTTTTAAAAAAATAGGGATACTTGGTTAATTGGGATGTTCAGAGACAAGTATGGGATTATCTTTTTGGAAAAGAAATGTATCAGGTAACTTGCATTTTTCTATACTTTGAATATAGAAGTAAGACTGCTGCAGAACACATTTAGATCATAGTACTTAAAACATTTGCTACAACAGTAACGATTGAAAACAAGTTTTGATTTGGATAATCTGTGGATACCATTCACTGTTTTAAAATTTCAAATGTGCTGTGTCCAAACATATACATTGTGGGTCATTGTGAGTATTCTTGATATTGAAAATGGAGTGCCAGTCGATAAATTATATTAATGTGGAAAATATAGTTAAAATGGGTTGTTTATCCATTTTATTCAGCAATTTTGGGAGAGTCCTAGATACAATCTAAAACTTACTCAGAACAGTTTAATAATAAAATATAGCCTTAATGAATTTTGAATTAATATCAGGAAGTTATGTCTGAAGTTTTATTTTAAAACTACTTCCAGTTCTTGAAATGTTTTCCTTTACAGGTAGATTTTGTTGATACTAATATAATCATCACAGAACCTTATTTCAACTTTAGCTCAATTCAAGAATCCATGAATGAAATATTATTTGAAGAATACCAATTCCAAGCAGTTCTCCGGGTAAATGGTGAGTGATATTCTCCACTATCCAGAAAATATATGATGCTCTTCATCCTGATATTGATTCAGCACATTTAAAAATTGCTATAATATGGTATTATATTTCAGCTGGAGCTCTTAGTGCCCATAGATACTTCCGAGATAACCCATCAGAATTGTGTTGTATTATTGTGGACAGTGGATATTCTTTTACACACATTGTGCCTTACTGCAGAAGTAAAAAGAAAAAAGAAGCAATAATAAGGTAAAACATTTAAGCATTCATAAAAAAAGGAAATTTTGTTTTAAAAATATATGAAAATTTCAAGCTTTGTTTTTAATTTCCAGAATTAACGTTGGAGGAAAACTCTTAACCAATCATTTAAAGGAAATAATCTCTTACAGGTAAAGCGTTTTTTGTTGACTTTACAAAAGTATCTCATTGAACCCCATTCAAACAATGATAGATTAAGCTTATCTTCTTTGGGAGAATTGCTACTTAAATAAATCACAGGGATCCTGCATTTCATACTGTACGTATCTGGACCTCAACAAACCTTTGACAGAATGTCTCCAGATATTCTCTTTAATAAAATGGTAAAATATGGGCTAGGTGATTCTGGCGTTAGATGGACTGAAATTGACTGAATGGCAATATCCAAAGATCTAGAAAATCTTGAGAAGTGGACTAAAATTAATAATTGATATTAACAGGGAGAAGTGTAAAATTCTGCACTTTGGTAGGAAAAAATGCATAGCACAAATATAGGTTGGAGGAGACCTGTCTTTGCCATAATACATGTGACAAAGATTCTGTTCTGTTGTTGTTATTAACCACTAGTTAAACATAAACCAGGAATGCAGTGCAGCTATTAAAAAGGCAAATGCTATCTTAAAGTATAGGTAGTCCTCATTTAGTAACTGTGTCATGCAGCAATCATTCTGGTTACAACAGTGATAAAAAAAACTTTATGACCAATCCTCACACTATGACCTTCACAGGTCTATAAAGCAAAGGAAAACTGAAGTAAGATCATTAGCACAGTAATGGTTTCACTTAGTAACCACTTAACAACCAAGTTGCTGGTCTCAATTGTGTTTGCTAACAAGGGTCACATGTACATTAAACTAGAGAAAAGTCCAGCTCATGGGAGTAATTGTTCTATTCTGCACAAATCAGATCCCATTTACAAAATTGAACTCAAATGTGGTCACTACAGATCAAAAATGGACGCTGACAAAGTAAATTCAGGGAGTATGAAAACCCTAGAAAAAGATGTTAAACTATCTGGTTATGTTTAGTCTACCCAAAAGATGGCAGTCTTCAAATATATGAAGATCTTACATAGAAGAAAATGTGGGAGTTATTTTCTGTTGTTCCTAAGAGCAAAACCAAAATAGCTAAAATTATAAGAAAGGAGATACAGCGCTGAGCAGGTGATTGGAATAGATGACTTCTAAAACTGTTTCAAGCTCTCTGATTATCTACCTATGAATTCATTTATCAATCTTGGAAAGGAAATGCCATGTTCTTCAGATTCAAGGAGCTATGAAGTTTAGTAGGTTTGCCCAACAAATCCTTATCCAAAACTTACTGTAATGATTATAATTTTAATTCCTCAATTTACCATTAATTTTAGTAGCATACCTAAATCTGTAGAACATTTAATGTTTTTTTTTCTATAATCTTGCAGTGGACTACAAAATACAAAGTTAAGTAAATTTCTTTCAGCACTTATAATAAACTGGCAAAGAAACAGAATAAATAACTTTTTAAAAATGTAATTTTTCTAGGCAGCTCCATGTTATGGATGAAACTCATGTGATTAATCAAGTGAAAGAAGATGTATGTTATGTTTCACAAGACTTTTTCAAGGATATGGAGATTGCCAAGTATGGTCTTTTTAAATATATTGGTTAAGCATTTCTTATTTTATTAAAGTTCAGAAATTTAGGGCTTCATCCTAAAAAAAGCATGCTACCTGGCTAGGCTGATATTTTGGTAATTAAAAAGATACTCTTTGAGCATGTATGGAGTATTTTATCTTCTGTGCCACATCATATATATATCTTGAAGGAGAGACAAAGATCTTTGAGAAGACTTTGGATTAGGATTTCAGTTTGTGATCTAATCCATGGGAGGAGAGAGATGTCATTTTCTAGTCCACTTTAAATAGACATTTTGCCCATAAAGGCGACCTAAAATATTATAAATAGAAGAAATAATGATGTTCAAAACCAAAGATGTGCTACACATTTTTTCTACCTCCATTATTTATCTAATAATAATTTTAAAAGCCCATTTCATTCTTCAAGAGTATTCAAGTTACTATACATTATATTAAAATATAAAAAATTGTGGAATTTTTATATTTTAATAGAAAATTAAAATCGTTTTGAGAAACTTTAAGAAATTACTTAATGCATTCTCAATGAATTCTGTTCCAGGTTGAAAGAAGAAAATACAGTGATGTTGGACTATGTCTTACCAGACTTCAGCACAATAAAAAAAGGATTTTGTAAGGTAATAAAATCATTATAACTGTGTTTAAAGGTTCCGTGTGTGCAAGTAAATGACAAACATTTGTCAATTTGTTGTATGTTGTGTTTGCATATTAAATACAGTTGTCGAATGACACTTAATGAAATATAGACTTTACCACTATGTGTTTATAATTGTTTAATGTAGCCAAGAGAAGAAATGGTGTTAAGTGGAAAATACAAAACTGGTGAACAAATACTTCGTCTTACAAATGAGCGATTTGCAGTTCCAGAAATACTCTTCCATCCTTCAGATATTGGCATTCAAGAAATGGGAATTCCTGAAGCCATTGTTTATTCAATTCAGAATTTGCCAGAAGGTACATTTATTAAAATGGGGTTGCATTCTCAAGGATGCATCTGTGCAGTACGCCTACATTTTATTTTGCTTAAGTAGCTTACAGTTTTAAAGGCAACAGCTTCATTGTCTATAGCTATTTTAATATTGATATTTGCAATAATTATATGTAGTTTTCAATCAATGATCACTCATTCAGTGGCCATTTGAAGTTACAATGGCACCAAAAAGTAATACTTTGAACTGGTCCTCAGGATTCTGATCCAGTTCTACAGAGGAATGATTGAGTCTGTCATCTGCACCACTATAACTGTCTAGTTTGGTTCTGCAACCCAACAGGACAGACACAGACTTCAGAGAGTAATTAGGACTGCAGAAAAAACAATTACTACCAACCTGTATACTGCACGAGTCAAAAAGAGGGCTGTGAAAATATTTACAGACCCCCTCACATTCCGGACATAAACTGTTTCAACTCCTTCCCTCAAAATGACGCTATAGAGCATTGCACATCAGAACAACTAGACACAAGGACAGTTTTTTTCCCAAAAGCCATCACTCTGCTAAACAAATAATTCCCTCAACCCTGTTCAACTATTACAAAGTCTGCACTACTATTACTGTTAATCTTGTCATCACTCCTTACCACCCATCTCCTCCCACTTGTGACTATGAGTGTAACTTTGCCGCTTATATACTTATGATTTATATTGACTGTTACCTAGTATGATTGATTGCTTATTGTACCTTATGACTATCATTAAGTGCCGTACCTTATGATTCCAGACTCCTGACGAATATATATTTTATGTATACTGAGAGTATTTACACCAAGACAAATTCCTTGTGTGTCCAATCACACTTGGCCAATAAAGTAATTCTATTCTATTCTGACTGTCCCAGGAACCTCATGATCATGTAATCATGAACTGGATGCTTGGTAACCAGCTCACACTACAATAGTTGTAGCATCCCACAACATGTGATTGCCAATTGTGACCTTTCCTGTCAGGTTCCCACACTCAAATCAAAGGGGAAGCTTGTAGGGAAAGTTGCAGGTCATTCACATTCCAGTGGATTTTTCTCCTGAGGAGCCTTACTGTGGTCCCTGAACACACTCCTCCCAGCCACCACCAACATACTCTCACACACACTTTCCTATTTGCAGCATCACACTCAACAATGGTTGCCAACTCATCCTCACACACTTGGCTGCAGCCACACCCAGCCCCTACTTTATATTAAGGATGCTACATCTATAAAATTTGCAGTAGATAAATGTAGAAACCAATATGTATTTATTCTATAAACATAGCTTCTGGTATTCAAGAATGCTTGCTCTGATTTTCCTGGTATCAAATTTTAACAGGAGAACCATATTTGTTCCTGCTACACTTACAGAAAATTCCATAATGTCAGCAATAATCCCTTTTTTTTTATTTTAAATTTTTTTAAAAAGACATCTGAATTATTTCTACCTCTCAGGCAAATTTAAAGTAGCAATTGCTCTTTTTTACCATAAAACCAAGCAAATTAATTCAGATTATTAAATTATCTTAATCTGATTTGTCCACAGAAATGCAGCCTCATTTCTTCAAGAATATTGTTTTAACTGGTGGGAATTCTCTATTCCCTGGCTTTAGAGATCGTGTTTATTCTGAGGTTCGATGCCTCACTCCAACAGATTATGAAGTTTCAGTTGTTCTACCAGAGAAGTAAGTAGTCTTCAATTTACAAATAGAGTTTCTTAATTTTAAAATAGATTTTTTCAATTTTTATATTAAAATTTCTAATATTAATTTAGGAATGAATATCCTGGTTCTTTCTGGCATTGTTGGCTATATACATGTGTACTCACCATTTTATTCCTTTCGGTATAAACGGTGTTATGCCACCTATAAAAAAGAAGTAGAAGTAGGCAGTAAAACATTAACACAGAATGCAGTATAATAAAAAAGGAAAGAAAGACTAAAATTATTCCTTATGTTTCTATATACCTTCCTGTCCTTACAAATCATTCTTGCTTCCACACTATCCATATAGTATTTTACATATTGCCTTTTCTTCCTAAAATTTCTCACCTCTTTTTCAGTCTCTCATCTGTTTTGTCTACCCGTGGTTTTCCCAGTCTTCCCTTTTTGCTCAACTTATTTATTTAGTAGTCTTCTTATTTTTTAATCTGTCTGTCTGTCTATCAAATTTATTTGCTGTGTGTCTCACAGTTAAAGGCAACGCTGAGCAGCTGCCAAGATAAACACACAAACATCTGACAATTGTAAATAAAATAACAACATTACAAAAACTAAAACAAGCTAAAAAGCAAGGCTTTGGAGAGAAGAGGTAGGGGTGCCTTCTCTATTAATGCACCAACCACTCCACCAACAGCTTCTCCTCAGGACCCCATGTCAGTTGGCATAGCCAGATTTTAAAGCTTTTACTAAAAACTAAAAGAGAGAAGACTGTTCTTACATCCTGTGGCAAGAGGTTCCTATTTTTTGTATTGTGATTATGTTTTCAGTAATGTTTCGTATATAAATCAAAAACCCGCAACCTACTTCTTTCATATTGATGACTCACTTTGTATTCATTTATACCTGATACTTTCTCTTTGAAGGCAAAGGTATTAAACTGTAGTGTCAAATGTTTTAATAGAGAAATAGAATCAAAATTGGAAGGGACCATTCAAGTTATTGAATTTAGAACATACTTAATGTAGCAATCCAGTTTCATTTATCTGAGACTGGTTTATTTTAAAATAAACCATTCCCATGCCATTGAAAGTTTATGATTTTCCTGTTATACCCAGCTCTCACTTCTATACGTATAGGAAATCAGAAAAAGCACACATACATCCATTTTTGTTTCTTTCAACAAAGATTCATCCCTCACAACAAACCTTATATTGTTCATGACATTTTTAAGCAAATATAAAACTTAAAACTTCTCCATCCATTTATTAAATATTCTATCAAGGTACACAATATCATATGCTTGCTCTGATTTTCTGGTTTTATCTGCTCATATGGGTAGTTATAACTTGGAATCACTCAGTTCATTTCCACTGTGAAATACAGCTAAATTAATCATAACTGATTTGGTCTTCAGTACATTCATTGTACATGCATTACTCAAGTAATGTTTCTTAGTATGGCTAATGTAAATTAATATTAATTCATAATTTTATATAGCTTGATTTTTAAAAGGCTGTTTTTATTTATTTTCAGTTCTATTACTTATTCCTGGGAAGGTGGAAAGTTGATTTCTGAAAATGACGATTTCGAAGATATGGTAGTAACAAGAGAAGACTATGAAGAAAACGGGCATAGCATATGTGAAGAAAAATTTGATATTTAAATAGATTATTTCCATAAAAGTGTTGTATAGATTGTCCATTGTAATGGCAAGATGTCTTAAGCTGGTGCTGTTTCCTAGAATAACCAATATTGATGAACTGATTATATATGTGTGTGTACTTATTTGTGTACATAAGTATAATGTATACTTACGTATATATGTGTTAAGTGTATATATTGGTTATTACTGATCACTGAATTTATGGTAAATATAGGAATTCTAATGAAAATAACTACAAATAATTCCTTAAAGGAAGTAAGTTAATATATCAGAATATTTTGTGGCAGAGATGACTTACAAATTTTTAAATGTACAGTACATATGAAACATTTAGATTTTAGAAAGATAATTATAATTCAAATGTAAGAAAGCTAGTTCATCTTTTTAAAAATATTTAATCTTGATCAATTTAATAAATGGGCAATTTTATCCAGAAGTCCTTTTTATTAGATCTGGTGGAAGAGAAGGGCAGCAGCTACTAAGCTGAAGACAAAAGTAACATACTGCTATGTCAGATCTCTTAATAGAGAAATATTCCAAGGAATCAAAATTGTAAGGGGCCATTTTAGTTTTTGAACTTAGAGCCATGCTTAATATAAGGATTCATTTTCAATTCTCACACTGTCTAGCCTTCATATTAACAAAAGGCAAAGATTGGACAGCCAATCTTTGTGTGTGAGATAATAAGAGGACTCCTGTCCTGGGTACAGGTTGGATTATAAAACATCCAAGGTAACTATCAACTTTTCAGACCCCGCTATGATTTTACTTCTGAGGAAGGTTTTCCTAACATTCAGTTGAAATCTGTCTTTTTGTAACTTAAATCCATACGCTCTTCTATGGAGTTTAATAGAAAAGTACTATAACATACAGGGTATAAATACCTAGCTCCACGAATGTCTCCTTATAGAATTTAATTTGTAGTCTTCATTGCTGTTCTATAAATTTGTGGTAATTTCTCCAAATCCTTTACAAAGTGAGTTCAAATCTGAATATAGAAAAACAGTTGTGATAGGGACTGACAAAATTTTCAGTGCCTGATGCATTTCATATTGGACATTTGTTCCCACAATATTCAATGATGTACTCTACCAAGTATTTTGTTTTTCATACATTTTGTTTTTCATACATAACTTATAATAGGAATAAATATGTATAATCTGACTCCTTTCAATGGTTGTAGATGCATGTAGCTGGACTCAGGACAAATTTTTCTCTTAGGAAGGGTAAAATCTCACTAGCCTCAAAAGATGGTAATGTGCTGTCTTTTGAAGAGGCTGTATTCAATGACTTTTCTCCAAAGTTACCTTTTGGATCAAGCTTCTACAGATGATAGGGAATTAATTAGATGTAAAATGAAATGGATCATGTGATCCCTTCCAATTCAGGCAGGCACATGAGAAACAGGAACCAATTTATCTAGAGCATTACCTTCTTCAGAATCTGCTTACTGATTAGAGCACTTGACAGCATTCAGTAATTCAGCTATGGTTGAAAAAGCACCCGTAGTCTCTCAAAATAACCCAAAACTCAAAACATATTAAAGTCCGGTAAAGCCTTCAACTTAACTTCACTGTTTTATTAGGCACAAGTTTAAAGTCAGAAAAGTAAATAATGAGGCAAACAGAAAACCAAAACAAACTGCATTGATGAGAGTTCTGAAGCAAGCTGAGATAACTATAAACTCCAGGAAAATAACTGAGAAAAGTCCATGGGAAGAACACCAGCAAAAATAAGCCTCTTTCAAGGTGAACACTAATTGACTTCAGCAATTCTAACTGCGCAGTTGCAAACGTATATACATAGCTCCCACCTGCAAGCCATGAGGAGGATCATGGTAATCTCCTGAGTAGACCTCGCTTTTCCCTGATCTTCTCCTCCCTGCGTGCCCTAGGATAGATAGGGGATGGGCCTGGATCCTCCTCTGACTGCTCAGCCGGCCTCTGCCCTTTCCCAGCCTTCTCCACCACTTCTGGAGCCACACTCCCACTCCCTGTTGGCTATTCCTCCTCTTCCTCAGAGTCAGACTCTACCAGGGGCATGACAACACCTTTGGGTCTATGGTACCCTTGTCAATGTCACCACTAGGACAAAGGGGGAATCTTTGTTACAGTACATGCTAAAATAAGCAATCTTCTCAGAAATACTAAAACAGACTATTGAGAAGCAACCATCAAGTTTTTAAAATGCAAAGATATTTATGCATCTTGGATTTTACATCCATGATCCATAAAACCTGAACCTTTTCATAACTCTCATATAACATAGTACCTCAGTACTATGTAGTACCTGCTGATCTTCAGAATCTGAGACTATATAAATGAGCTTGTATCAGCGATTTCTGTGGCAGTGGCCAATACAAGTAATGATAACTGTAAAGTATGTTTATGTGATTTCATCATGATGTATACAGTATGTAAACATAATTTGTGTGATGAGGTAATTAAGCATATATAATTTGCTCTTCCCATTCCTTTGGATATCCAGTTCATACACCGCTGTGTATTAAATAAAGTACAGGTGGTCCTCAACTTACAATTGAGCCAAAATTTATGTTGCTAAGCGAGAGAGTTAAGTGAGTTTCACCCCATTTTATGAACTTTCTTGCAACAGTTAAGTGAATCACTGCAGTTGTTAAGTTAGTAACCCAGTTGTTAAATGAATCTGGCTTCCCCATGGATTTTTCTTGTCACAAGGTTGCAAAAGGTGATCATGACCTTGGGACACTGCAAGGGTCACTAAATATGAACCAGTTGCCAAACATCTGAATTTCGATCATGTGAACATGATGCTGCAATTGTCATAAGTGTGAAAATGATCATAACTCCATTTTTTTCACTGCCATTGTAACCTTGAACTGTCACTAAACTGTTCTAAATCGAGGATGCATTGTACTAACTAAGCCACCGCACAGTAAGCTAAAACTACGCCCTATATTGCAACGGGTGAGGTCAGCCTTGATGAGAGCCTAAAACCAGCGTCTTCGTCTGAAACTTTCAGCTGAAGCACTCCTGAGCAACGCTCGCCTGGGGGGAATGGAACGCGTCCATAACAGCCCCGAGTACCGGCCCGGCCGCCTCACTCCAAAGCCGACCACCTGGAACAGACAATCAAGTTCTCCTGACACCGAAACTACCGTTGGCGGCACAAGCAGTGGGCGGAGCTTCCTCCGGCACAACTTCCGGCCCTGAGCCCGTCTCCTGTTTCTCTCGCAGTGACAACAAGAGAGGCAGGCGGCGGCGGAAGCCAAGGGGAAGGAGTAGCCCGGTCAGGTTTGCGGCTCAGGTGGTCGCCATGGCGTAGCCGAGCCTGGTCTGCACTTGGTCAACCACGCCCCACAGTGGGGCGGGATCGTTTCTTCAGAAAGAGGTGAGCCGGGTTGAGGGGGGCTTTCGGTTCTCCGGTGCCGGCGAGCGGCCTTAAAATCCTGGAAAGGCCCTGTTTTTCTCCCTCCGAATCGCAAGGAGGGCCTGAATGGTGTCATCTGGGCAGGCAGCGACAGGGAGAGTTGGGTGACGTTATTCCTCTCGATCGTGGTTTTTGCTAAGGTGCTTTTCTCGATCGGTGGGGAGCGACGGGGCGAAAAAAAGACTAATAGAAGCAAGCTTAACTAACAGGCTCTTCCGGTTAAGAGGAAGGGCTGCTTCAACCTTGCTTACATTGTGAAAATCTCGTATCTGTTCTAGGCATTTATTTATCCGAAAGAATAGGCTGTTATTTGTACATCTAGTCTGACATCTCAAAAAATACCAACGTTTTTTTAAAAAAAGAATAGAAGCACTTTTGCTCTTAAGTGATCTGATAGTTGATTAATCTGTTTTTAAAATGGACAATATAAATAATATTACAGCATATTTAAAAGCCTGTAGGTATATTGAAATACCAAAGGTGCATAAAAGTAATATGGGCTGAGTATGTATCATCTGTTTTAGTTGTCCACTTATTGTACCATCTGACAAAATGTACTCGGAAAGTCTAAGCCAAAATACTTTATGTGATTGTCCTGTTTTGAAAAGTACTGCTTCACAGAAAATTAAATTATTTACTTTTTTATGTATCATAGGTCTTATGAACCTTTTTCTGATCATTCACTAAAAGTAATTTATTGTGAGATATGGAAGCACTTAAATAGAAATTACTGCCTTTAACACATATCTGAAATGCTACTGAAGTCCCAGTCAAAAGTATATTTAATAAACTTCACATTGAAAATATTGGAATTGAAATCCTTATTTCCAGGCTCAAAAAGCAGAGCAATTATCCCCAAATTTGCTTTTGTTATGATGAACTGAAGTCACACGTATTTATGTGATTAAGGATAATTAAACACCTTACTGGATATTTATATTTGGTTGGTTCTATTTTAAATTTAAAAGATAAATTCAAACTATTTTCACAGATATGTCATTTCCCTAAGTCGCACATAAAGCAGTTTTTGGGTAGCCTGGAAAGAAAAAAATCAATGTGGCATCTCTATAGAGTTGCAGGCATGCTTCTTACAGCAGGTTCTTAAACTTAATTTCTGGCGTTTACAACTGTATTAATTTTTATATCCATAATATTTTCTATATCCTTAAATGACTTGAAAATATTTTTTTCATAACTATTTTGAATAATAATCATGGAATAATATCCATATATGATATGTGTAAATGATATCTCTTATAATTTGTATGCTATTACTCAAGCATGCATACATCAGAAAACAAATCCTTATTTTCCTATACTCTTAGCAGTTATTGGGCACCTTTCATTTTAAAAGGCCCTACAGAAATGAATTCTTTTTCACTCTTTCCTAAATGTCAAAAGGGGAAAGAGGCATTCTGATCTCAGGAAGCAGATTACTGTATTCCACAATTTTCCTCCATTTTAAACATTCTTCTAAGGGGTCTAGTAAAATATATTTTCTGATGAAATAATTTCATTTTAAATCATATTTTTTATTATTAAGTAGAATCACTGATTCTCCAGAAGTTGGATATACTATTCCAATTTTTCATTCTACAGTTCAAATATAAGCTAATACTAACTTTAATCCAACATATTATGACTGTCAAGCCTGAAGCCATGTGAAAAGAAATCCCAATAGAAAAACAACAGAAAACAGCCACAGACATATTTTGAAAACTATATAAATTTGGCACAAATTTTAAAGCCCAGTCTATAAATATATCTTGGAGACAGCAAATTAGGCTTGTTCAGCACAAACTGTATTGCCATGTGATTTGAATAAGCTTTAGAAATAACATTGCATAATTATCAAGAAAAGTCATTTTCTCCAGAGTGGTGTCGATAGGGTCCAGACAGCATGGGTTGACTCTGGTCTGCTAGCTCTTTAGACTGAGTTGTTTAAACTGAGGACACCCCTCCTGCTCTCCAACGGTCCCCAGTTTACAACTCAGTCTGGAGCTCTGCAGACGTGTTTGTCAGCACTCTTGAGTTGTTCAGAATTGCAGTTGGAAAGTGTTCGTTGGTTTTTTCGCAGAATTCAAAGGCTACCATCTCTGTTCAGTGACCAGAGTCTTCGGCTCGCGTTGCTGGGCTTGAAGGATCTCCTTGCTGTGATTTTGGAGTTTTTCCTACAGAGTGTGAGCATTGGTGTGCCTACTAACTTCCCTAAGAGGGAGCGCAACTTGCGACGGAATAGCGCAATTTTGAGGCACTCGGGGCTGTCTGCCCTTCAGGAAGGTAGCCCCAGATTAGCGGGCAGACCTGGAGATCGGCCTGCTGAAGATCCACTAGAAAGCACTCTTCCCGCCATCATTTTGATCAAGGATCTGGCGGGAGTGCCATTTTAAGAATCAGCGCATGAAGACCACGGAGTGCCTGCTTGGCTGTTGATCCGAAAGGAGGCACAACTTGGGAGAGGCGCAGTCGGTGCATTTTTGGACTTTGAAGGCTTTCTGGGCTGCCTGCCCCTTAGGGAGAGCAGTCCCAGAGCTGTTTGTACCCATGAGGCTCCGTTCTTTGAGACTCAGCTGGAAAGCGGTTTGCAAAGGAACACAAACTGCAAAGGTTTGAAAAGTCTCCCCTTTGTTCTTTACAAGTCGGATTGACAGACAGCGCAAAGACTTGGAAGTCCTAGTAAGCTCATGGGCTGCCTGCCCTGGAAGGAGCACAGTTCCAGGGGGCTGAGTCCGGTCCCGCTCCTTGATCATAGACTTGCTCCAGGGCAGAAATCCCTAGGGCTACCCTATGTTGCCCACATTACAGACAACATAGTATTGTTAGGGTTAAGGTTATTGTTAATATAATATAATACAATGTAATATAATATACATCTTTACAATATTATATATAATAAACAGTATAATATAATATTATTATCATATTGTTAGTATTGCCAGTTAATAGGAGGCAGGTTAAGTTATAATATAAAATGAAATTCAAATAAAATTAATTACATGGGGGTGAGTTACAAGATGGCAGATACCATTGGCAGTCTGACCGTATCTCAGCCTAGTGTTAAGGCTAGGGCTAGTTTTAAAGGATCCAGATGGGCTTCTACAAGCCAAAGAGGCAGCAACCAAGCTTAAGGTTAAGGCTATCTCATCTATGAGAGTTTCCAAGGCTGAGGAAAAGGCGGAGCATAGACTTCAGAAGGCCTTGGAGAAACAGATTGCCAGAAAGGTTGAAGAAGAGGAAAAAATCACTCAGCTTAGTCCCTTGAGTATGGTTCACGAGGATACTAGCTCCCTCTGAGGTAGCCTCTAGATCTTTCCAACTGGTGGCCCGGAATGGTGGTACTGCAACCCAAGGTTGGCCACCTGGTGGCTCTCAAGAACTTGGTAGTGCTCAGGGAGCCTTTTTGGCTCCCAGGATAGACAGTCTCCCTTTCAGGCGCCTTGTCACCAGGGTGTTGCTGGACCAAGAATGGGGCCTCCTCCTAAGGCTACTTTCACCTCCACTTCGGCAGGGCTCCACCAGGGGAGGGAGTATGATACCAATATGACACCAGAGATACAAAGATGGATTTCAGAGGCAGTCCAACAGGGCTATGTGGCTGGCTTTAAGCAGTCCTGCCAACCTGCACCAGTATTGTCAGTATTGCCCACTGCCAAGTTATTCCTGACAAGGCTTAAGTTGAATATTCTGAGTTCGAGGATCCCCCCTCGCAGGTCTCATCTGAACATGATCACTCAGAGAGCTTGGTAGGGGAGGGTGAGATTGAACAGGATCTATCCGAGGACGATGGCAGAGCCACTGACAAGCCTTTTTTTAAAGGACTTTTTTGGACTCACTTGTTCAAATCCTTTTCAAGGCCAAGTGCTACTCAGCTTGATTTGGAACTTGCTGTTCCAGACATTCCTCTGGGTGTATCTGAGCCCAGTGATCTTTTATTTGCTGAACCGACGGAGGAGACAGCCATGATTCCATTGCCAAAGCTCTTTTTCAACATGGTCCAGTGACAACTGGACTCTCCGGCTGCTTACTCAAATGCCACTTCATTTGATAAAAGATATTTTAACGTGGCCACGCCTATTGCAGATACTCTTCAGCTCCCAGAAGTGGATGAACTGGTTTTGGCATTAGCATTGTCATCAGCAATGTTTAACGATGCTAATGACTTCCTCAAAGCAGATGATAAAAAGTCTGAACTAACACTGCGCAGGATGCACCAGGCAGTGGGGTGGGGTGGGCTGTAAAGACCACTATTGCAGCATCTTTTTTCACCAGAGCATCGCTGATTTGGCTTCACCAAATGCAAGAGCAGGTATCTGCCAGTGACATCAGAACTCACCAGAATTTCAACAAGGTGATTGCTGCGGCAGAGTACATAGCTGATGCCACACTTAATTTGGTGAAGTTCGCTTCTCAGGCTATTGCATCGGCAGTGACAGTGCGCCATCTCCTGTGGCTCAAACATTGGCAGGCTGACACCAAGCGCAGATGGAAGCTGGTCTCCACTCCATATAAGGGTGGCAAGTTATTTGGGGATGCCTTAGAACCAGTGCTTGTGGAACCCAGAGATGAGTGAAGGATTTTACATTGCATTTCACAAAGGGGCATTAATAGATTCTTGCAATCCTTTCTTTGGTCCTTTCGTGCCCCCTACTACAGACCAAGTTTTCAACGGACTCAGGGTTCATTCGGTCAGAGGCAGGAATTCCAGTAACCCAGGTCTCCTGAGACAAAAACAAGCCCCAGACTCAAAATAAGCTGGCCTTTCAAGGGGCAGGTCATTTCTCTGATCCAAGTGACTACCGAAGTTCCCATTGGTGGCAGGCTACAACTTTTTGCAGACCAATGGGAGCAGACCACTACCGACGCATGGATGTAAATCGCGACGAGATACGGCCTCTCCCTAGAATTCCAATCCCCCCTCCCCCGAGGTTCTTTATCCGTTGCCCTGGATCAAAGGACACCAC